TGACCAGATACCGTTTTTTCACCTATGAGACAGACAGATAAAAACATTGGCCTACAGTGCCAGTTGCTGAGGTTTTGGGAAGCAAGCATACTCTTACCCTGCTGGTGAAAGTGCAAAATAATACAAATAGGGTGATTGCGGTAAAGTGTATCATTTCTGGGAATTAAATCCTAAGGTACACCCATCCACTTACAAAATGACATTTAAATAAGGACATTCATTGCAACATTATTTCCAGTTAAAAAAGACTGGAAACAACCCAAATGTGTGTCAGTTAGAGACAAGTTACCTCAGCTGTCTATCCACACATGAAAAATCAATCAGCTATGAAGAGAATGAGGAAGCTCCCTCCTGTTGACACAGAAAGTTCTCCAGGATGTGTATTATATGTAAGGTAAGTAAGAAAGCACAGCACAAAATAATATGTGTAATATGATACTTTTTTTAAAAAGAAGGGATAATAAGTTTATATATGTCTCTATGCTTTAACCTAAAAAGAAATACTGAAAGGATATACAAGAAACTCACAAATGTGGCTCCCTGTGTTTAAATTGAGTGGGGAGGAGAGAAGTGTTTTAAGTATTTTGTAAATAATAACACAGATTTCATGAAAAGTTATGAGTGGGGAAAGCAAGATGCTCAATTATACCTTGTTTTATTTTTTGATCTTTGAGCCATGTGAATATTTCGTTATTCACAAATTAAGAAGAAAAAATATAATGAAAACTACACCCATAGAGTATTAATGTTTGTCTGATTCTGTGCTAAGCATGCTGTGTTTGTAATCTCAGGTATTGCTCAAAGCAGATCATATGATTATTCCCATTTTGCAGGTGAGGAACAGGTTTAGAGAAGTAAGAAATTTACCTACAGCACAGAACTAGTAAATGGTGGAGCCTGGAATCAAATCATGGCCACCTGCCTCTAGGAACTGTGCTCTGAACTATTATTCCACTCTCACAGTGGCTTTTAACATTTCTGTTCTACCTTGAGAAACATAAGAGATGATATCCCCTCACAGCACACTAGTCTTTGTAAAACAAAACAAAACAAAACAAAACAAAATGATAGCTAGAACCAACTCTGCTGATCAAAAGTAGACTGAATTTTAAAAATGTGGCACATATACATGATGGAATATTACACAGTCATAAAGAAGGACAAAATCATGAACTTCTCAGCAAATTGGATGAAATTGGAGACAATCATTCTTAGTGATCTATCACAGAAACAAAGAGCCAAACACCACATGTTCTCACTCATAAGTGGGACCTGAACACTAATCACAATAGCACAAGGGAGGGATCGACAGTTGTGGGACACTGCCAGGGGAGGGGAGGATGTTGTTGGAGGAGTGAAACACATGACAACACAAAGGGTACCTGATCCTAATCCAGGGGAAATGAGGACCAGTGGAGGCCCAAACTTCAAACTTCACCTGCACATACAGAACTTATGTACCTAATCCTGATTTGTACCCCACATCTTTATAATAAAATAAACACACACACACACACACACACACACACACACAGTTAGAATCAGCATCAAATAAAAATAGAAACTCCCAACAGTTTCCCAGTAGCAATAGCTCACTGTAGCTATGGCGTCAAATGAAAGTATGCGGCCATGTGATAACCCTGAAGTCTAGATGTATCTCCAACCCCTCCCACCTAAAAAGAAAGCATGTCAAAGTGAAAGCAACAGCAAGTTTTTGCTATTTTTTAAGAAATACCTGGCATTTATTGAGTTCTTACCATGTGACAGGAATGTTATAAATGCATTATAAGTACATCACGCGTATAACCATGTAATGTTCACCAAAAACTTAGTAGATAGATGCTATCATTATCAGTGCTATGGGTTGAACAGTATCAACCCCCTCCCCCAAAAGGTAGATTGAAGTCCTAAGCCCCCAAATCCTAAGAATGTGACCTTATTTGGAAATAGCATCTTTACTTTGACTTAATGAAGTCAAAGTAAAATTATTAGAGTGGGCCCGAGTTCAATATGATGGGTATCCTTTTATAAAGAGGAAGTTTTTATTATGATATGAACGCAGCCATGTGGCTGGAGGGCAGAGATTGGAATGATGTAGCTGCAAGTCAAGGAGAGCCAAGGACTACCAGTCACCACCAGAAGCTAGGGAGAACCCTATCCAGAGTCTTTGAGGTAGCATGGCCCTGCCAACACCTTGATTTCGAACTTCCATCCTTCAGAACAATGAGACAGTTGATTCAATCTGTTGTGTGAAGTCACCCAGTTTGTGGTACTTTATTACGGCAGCCCTAGGAAGTGAATTTACAGATGAGAGAACCAAGATACAGAGAGGCCGAGCAACCTACCTCAAATGACATACTTGATTAGTAATGGCATCTTGGCCTGTAATTGGAAAGACCAACTCCAGAAGAATGCTCCCTTCTGATCAAATTTATATTCATATTCATTTATTTTTTTTGAGTCAGAGTCACCCAGGCTGGAGTGCAGTGGCACAATCACAGTTCACTGCAGCCTCATATTCCTGGGCTCAAGCCATCCTCCTGCCTTAGCCGCCTGCGTAGGTAGGACTACTTGCAGACACCACCACACCCAGCTAATCTTTAATTTTTTATAGAGACAAGGTCTCACTATGTTGTGCAGGGTGGTCTCGAGCTCTTGGGCTCAAGTGATACTTCTACCTTGACCTCTGGAACAGCTGGGATTACACGTGTGAGCCGGGGTACCTGGCTGAAATTTATGTTTTAAAAAAAATTAATTGCAAATTTCAGTTAGCTATTATTTAAGCAAATGATTTGTCTCACGACTGATGTCTCTGAACACTCTGTTTGACCTTAATCCTCTGTCAAAGGGCAGAGCACAGAGTGTTCAGAGTGGGGCAACCTTGATAAACTCGTCAGGGCATGGCGGTGGGAGCCCACAAAGCCAAACCAAACTCAACCATGCAGCTTCTCAGAGCTAGGGGGCCAGCCAAGGGGGCTTTTCACTCCTCCCTGAAACAGCTGAATGTGGCAAGGACCCAGGGGGTGTGCACTTCAAAGCAATTGAAGCCTTCCCCACAGCCTCTCATTTTTGATCAGCAGGAGTCACAATCTAGGAATGTGTTGTTTAAATTATTATTATTATTATAGAATAAGAAAGGTTCAGGTTAAGTTCAAGAGGGCTAGAACAACTTGCAGTAGTAGCTGCCTTTCCCCATCCCTTTTGGACCCAGTTGACCACTGAACAAAAATGCTTTCTCAATGATACAATGCTTTTCAAATAATGCAGGAAAGGGACGTGACAGGTGAAGGAAAGTCTGGCTGAGCACTTAACCTGGGGCCTGTGCTGGTCTGTGTAGACCTCTATGTGGAAGACCCTGGAAGATCTGGAAGATTGTGCATCCTGGAGGATCATCCCTGAAAGCAAACCACTTGATGAGTGGAGCCCGGATTGAATGGCTGTCTCCAGCTGCAAGTGAGAGGCAGGCAAAGATGTGCTGGAGATGGACATCAGAGTTTAAAAACAGAATTTGGAGCCGGACTTGGTGGCTCAGCTTGTAATCCCAGTGCTTTGGGAGGCTGAGGTGAGTGGATTGCCTGAGCCCGTGGGTTCAAGACCCGCCTGGGCAACTTGGCGAGACCTCATCTCTACAATGAATCAAAAATTAACTGGGTGTGGTAGTGCGCACCTGTAGTTCCAGCTACTTGGAAGGCTGAGGCAGAGGGGTCGCTGGAGCCCAGCAGGTTGAGGCTGCAGTGGCCGGGAGCGGCCACTGCACTCCAGTCTGGGTGACAGGGTGAGACTCCAACTCAAAAAAAAAGAAAAGAAAAGAAAAGAAAAGAAAAACAAACAGAATTTGGTAAAACCAAAAGTCAAATGACTAAAAGTGAATTGGATGCTGATTACGGTTATGTCTGGGCAGAGGAACAGTGTTTGGGCAGACATTTCTCCATGGCTGAACTATTGAAGTCAGGAATATTTCTTTCTTTCTTTTTTTTTTGACTTGGAGTCTCACTCTGTTGTCCAGACTGGAATTTAAACTTTTCTAAGTTCTAAGTGTAGATGTTCAGTAAGCACCCACTGTCTGGATGATTTCTTTCCTGGATAGGCTTGGCAAGGGCCTTGAGATCCTGGTAAGAATCACAGAAAAAGGAGAACTGTCTTTGCTGGAAGCATGACTGACAGGTCAGCAGGTTGTCATCACCACCGTTCTTCTTGAATGAACATACAATACATAACATAGTGAGACCTTGTCTCTACAAAAAATTGAAAATTAGCTGGTTGTGGTGGTGTGTGCAAGTAGTCCCACCTACTCAGGAGGCTAAGGCAGGAGGATGGCTTGAGGAATATGAACCAGGAATATGAACCTGCAGTGAACTGTGATTGTGCCACTGCACTCCAGCCTAGGTGACCGTGACTCAAAAAAAAAAAAAAAAAAAGGTTGAATATGAATATAAATTTGATCAGAATGGAGCATACGACCCTAAACCCCAAATGACCCTAAACCATATGTGATTCTGGACACAACTTGAAACAACAAGAAAAAGAAGCAAAATGGTTAACCTTTGCCTAATATGGAGGCAAAAGAGTGAAGTATCCAAAAGTTAAAAGTATTAGACATTGAGGCCGAGTATTAGACATTAACTTCCTCAGTTTTAAGCTTTGTAGATATTAGCTTATGTAAACATTATGTAGACATTAGCACATGTAAACCCAGGTTTATCATGTGCTGATGAAAACAAGTTTTATTTTGTAATTCCAAGTATTTAAAGAATATCTCAATCTAAACATTTGAATGCCTTGTTAAGAGAAATCCCCAAAAACAGCAGCAACCCTCCCCAGAAAACTCGCAAAGATGTATCCTATGCATTATCTTACCTCTTTTCTAAGTTTAAATTCCCAGACTTTGTACATAACAATGTGGATTAACATATTTACCTACTTTGCTGCTGAGAAGTAAACCTTGAAATACCAGTCTCACAGTGAAATTCCAGAGGCAAACAGAAAAGTGACTGACTCACCTGGGAGTGGGCTCTGCAGTGAGGACGTGTATTTCTAAGATGCAGATTGCAAAGGCCAAGTTCCAGTAGGCAGGCATGCTGTTCTTACTGGGCAGCTCCAAGTGGGGTGGCCGACCAGGTCACCAAAGGCATTTATTTGCAAAGGGCCAGGGAACCAGAGGGCCAGGGATAGTTACTGTTTGTTTGCACTCAGGGCTTTTGTCAATTTGGGCTGCATGGATGCTGAAGTCCAAGCCAAGGAGAGTCATTTTGTGATTTGCTACTTCTTGACCTCCTGATTTCTCATGTTGACAAGTATATGTGGGTAAGGAGTTTGTGAATGCTAAAGTGGCTAAGATTAGCAGCAGTGCTGAATGAGAACAAACAAAAATGTCCCCGGCAGTTCTCATCTTGAAAGACTCTGGGAGAGAGGATGAGGGAGTGTCATTTTGGGAAAAAAGTCTGTGGGTGATTCTTATGGAGGAATAAACTCAAAATTAGTAAAGAACTGCACTCAATGGAAAGGAAGGCACTGACATAGATATCTCAACATTTTTTTTCCAATCTGAAAATAATTTATTTGTGGGCAAGTTGAAGTGTAGAATGTATTTACAAACCTAGCTCTTTTTTATAGACTCAGTGGAGAATTTTTTTAAAAATTAATATTGTGGAGTACAAATGTGAATTTGCTCCATAAGTAGGCGGCATGAAGGTGAAGTTTGGGCTTCTAGCTGGCCCTCTATCCCTTTGGCAGTGGGCCAGGTACACACTGTGTTGCCATGTGCCACTCTTCTTTCTCCCTCCCTCCCCTAGCAGTGTCCAGCAACTGCCAGTCCCACCCAGGTGCGAGTGTGACTAATATTCAGGGCCCTCTTATGACAGTCTCCAACTGCAGCCAAATTGCTGCAAAGGCCATGATTTTGTTCTTCTGCATGGCTGCATAATATTTCATGGTGTATATGTACCATATTTTCTTTATCCAATCCACTTTTGATGGGCGTATGGGTTGGTTCCATATTTTTGCCATTGTGAATAATGCGGCAATAAGCATGCATGTGTAGGTATCCTTTTGGTAGGGTGATTTATGTTCTTCTGGGTATGTTCTCAGGAGAAGAATTACTGAATTATATGGAAGCTCAATTTTTAGTTGTTTGAGAAATTGCCACACTGCTTTCCATTGAGACTGAAATAGCTTATTTTCCAACCAACAGTGCAGAAGCACCCCCTTTTCTCTGCAGCTGCACCAGCACCTTTTTTTTTTTTTTCTTTTTTGACTTATTAATGATAGCTATTCTTACTAGGGTTAGGTGGTATCTCACTGCAGTTTTGACATGCATTTTTCTGATGATTAGTAAGACTGAGAATTTTTTCAGGTGTCTATTGGCTGCTTGTATGTCATCCTTTGAGAAGTGTCTGTTCATGTCCTTCACCCATTTTTTAATAGGATTGTTTGTTTTTTCCTTTCAGGTTGATTGAGTTCCTTATAGATCGTGGATGTTAGGCCTTTGTCAGGCTCATAGCTTGCAAATTTTTTTTTCCCATTCTGTGGGTTGTCTCTTTACTCTCTTGAGGGTTTATTTTGCTATGCAAAAGCTTTTTGGTTTGCTAAGGTACCACCTGTCTATCTTACAAAAGGGGACCCCAAAAAACTGGAATTATTTTTTGGAGGGTGGGCCCCTTGTAGTACAGGCTTCCCCCACTAGGTAAGTGTTCTAGGAACTCATCGGCATCAGTGTACAAGCTAGCATTGTGTGAGAGCCTGTGTTCAACTTCAGAGAATTTTTTTTTTGAGATTCTTTCAACACATTTGCTTATTTCATGATAAGTACACACCTGAAGGACATTTTCTGAGAGTCTTAGCTAATGACAGGTAAGCTGTATCTGGATGTAGTACAAAACTTTCAAATATGACATAGCAATGTTGAGGACGCTTACATAGTCTCTTTGGACCCTACCAGGACACCTATGGAAATAAGAACTTAAAAGTAGTCAAGATAGGATGATGTTTTATGCTAACTAGATTTGATACTAACTGATTAGATTTTGTGCTAATTATGCTTGATAAGTATATGTGACTGGAGACTGAAAAATTATCTGCCTCCTTGGAGATAAACTCGATGGAGGAGATATGGAGGAAGGGGGGGGTGGTGTTTCCTGGCTGGCTGATTTGAACAGGAGGTTATGCTGAATTGTTCAGTTTTATTTATTTTTATCACCATAGTTCAGGCTAAATGTAATGTAGCAAAATAATGGGGGCAGTGAAGTATAATAATACTATATTAATTATATATTATCTATAATAGATAGATATTAATAGATGTTTTTCTTTTAAAGATGTGGGGTACAAGTCAGGATTGGGTACATAGTGGTATGTATGATATTAGTAGATATATTAATAATATAAAATATGTAAAATATAAATAATATAACATGCTTTTTTTGGAGACAAAACAAGGGTCTTGTTTTGTCTCTCAGGTTGGAGTGCAGTGGTGTGATCATAATTCACTTCAGCCTCAAACTCCTGAGCTCAAGAGATCCTCCTAACTCAGCTGGAAACACAGGTGCATGCCACCATACCCAGCTAATTTTTTCACCAAGGCAGGTCTCTCCATGTTGCCCAGACAGGTCTTGAATGCCTGACCTCAAGCAGTTCTCCTGCTTTGGCCTGCCAAAGTGCTGGAAATACAGGCAAGAGCTACCAAGCCCAGCCTGTCTTACGTTTTTGTAGAGCTTTTAATTCATCCTTGCCCTTAGCATCTATCATGTATATGGCATGTTTTGAAATGAGGCTTATGTTTCTGACTGTATCTTGGAGGAATGAAGCATCATGATACATTAGGTTAGAGAAGTGAAAATAATAACATTTTAATTTGTACAATGGCTTCCAAAGAACAAAACAGATACATGTTTCTTGAACATCTATAATGTGCCAGGCTATATATATATATATAAAATCTCATTCAATCCTCAAAATAACCCATTTTATACCTAAGGATACACTGAGATTACATTATTTGTCCAGCATCAACCAATGATGAGTAACTGGAATTTGAACTTATTATATCTGGCTCTACATCTCAGGCTTTTTTCCTCACACTATTAATATTGTTATTTTTTTTTTTTTTTTTTTTTTTTTTTTTTTTTTGAGTTGGAGTCTCACTCTGTCGCCCAGACGGGAGTGCAGTGGCCGCTCCCGGCCACCGCAGCCTCGACCTGCTGGGCTCTGGTGATCCTTCCGCCTCAGCCTTCCAAGTAGCCGGAATTACAGGCGCGTGCTACCACGCCCAGCTAATTTTTTGATTTATTGTAGAGATGAGGTCTCGCTGCCCAGGCGGGTCTCGAACCCGCGGGCTCAGGCAATCCACTCACCTCAGCCTCCCAAAGGCGCGGGATTACAGGCTGAGCCACCGAGCCCGGCTTAATATTGTTATTATTATTATTTATGTAATGTAGCTTATGGAATACTCTGCTATAAAATTCCTTACTCAATCCTCTCAACTCTACAAAAGGTAAGCTTTTAGTCTAGTTTCACAGATGAGATTCAGAGATGGAGAAATACAACAAAGGCTACATATAGAGAAGTAGCAGAAGTGAGATTTAAACAAGTCATGTCCTTAAGCTCTGATTCTAGGGCTTTCCACCTTGCTGAGGGTCCTCAAAGGTTTCATCAGTCAGTGACCTTTTCCATTCCCTTGGTCTCAATTTTTTGGAAAATTCGTGGTAGTGAATTATGTTTTTTGTGTAATAATAATAATAATAATAATACTTAGCACCACTTCCCCAGAAAACCCAGAAATTCCTTCAGTTTCCTATGGTTCCTCTCATGTCAGCTTCTCTGCATCTCAATCAAATCTCAGAAGAAGAGGCCTGCTTTTATTTAGGAAAATCTGACGTTCTACACTCCCAGGCTAACTTTCTGGAATTCTGTTGAATTAGTTCTCTCTTTGATATGCTCAATACCTCCATTTTAATCACTTCCTTCTCCTCAGCCTGTGAACAAAACTCAAGTTCTGTCTTCAAAAAAATTCTACATAATTCTTTGGTTTTTCTCTTATTGCTACTCCCCTTTTTGGCTAAACTTTTGCAGTCTGTATCATCCTTCTTACGGCATGGTCATGTCCAACCTCTTGAAGTCTGCCCTCTGCCTCTCCTGCTCCATTGGAGACCTCTTTGTTGCTAAATTTAACAGATACTTCTTGAACCTCTTTGAGGCATTTCACTGTGCTGGCCATTTTCCATGCTTTAACACTCTCAGTCCCCTTGACTTCTGTGGCAAGGCATCTCCTCATTCTTCTGTTCTATTTCATTTGCCTGTCTTCCCTGCCCATTGCACAAATGCTGGATTCCTCAGGGTGGGACAGTGGGGAGGGAGGTGATTCTTATCCACTCTTTAAGTTAAACCTATCTTCAGATCCAGAGGACTCAGAGAGTGGCCTGTTGAAGTCTCTTTACTAGAATCTCCTGAATTCTTGTTTTGAAAGTATAGACTCCTAGAAGTGATAATAATAATAATAACAAAACACTTTCCAGGGTAACAGTCCTCAAGTACTTCTAAGAAATCTCCAGGTGAACCTTGATTTGTTCATAATAAATCGAACTTGCCATATCTAAAGTCAAACACATAATTCCTGCCTTGTCTCTGTCGAGGAAACTCTTCTTTTTATAGTCCTTGTTTTGGTCAATGAGCCATCATACATCCTGTCTTTCTGGTTCTCAAACCTGAAGGCCACCCTTGTTATCTACTGTATCAATATTTTGACAGTATACCAAGTATTAAGCATGCTCATAATGGTTACTCTGTAGTGACTCCATAGTTACTGGATAATTGTTGATTTAACTCAGTTCAGATATATTTGGTTTCTGGAACTTGGAAGTTTGACAAAAGGAGAACATATCTGAGGATCAAATTATTTTCAGCTTTACCAAACATTTTCTACATGTAAACCTAACTAAATATAAGAGGTGATAATGGCATACAAATCTTAAAACTTTTAGAATTGTGTTTTCTTGATACTTGGCAACTTCAAGACTGAACCTTGAGGTTAATTGCTCAGGGAAAGAGATGGTGAAATAAAGAAGCAATTGATCAACTGCGAATCTCAAAGCAGCGGGGACAACTAGGT